AGCTATTCCCCTGACCAAAGCAGGCTGCAGGGAGCCAGAGGACTTTCACCCCAGCCTGAGCCAAGCACTCACCTGCTTCCCACAGCTCCCCTCAAACTCAGCCACTTGCTGGCTTTTATCATCACTTGATTGGTCTCAGTTGGGAGGCTGCCGATCAGTCACAGGCGAGGCTGGGCCCCACGTCCCTTAAAGGGCCAGCTGGCCTGTGACAAGAAGACCCAACCGGTAGATGAGGCAAGTGAGGGTAACAGAACTAATTGTACAGGGAGCGGAAGCAAGAGAGGTTTTACAGATTAAGGGCAAAATTCTGGGGCCGAGATTATCAAGCGACTAGTGGTTTTGGGTGCTTGTAGTCCATAGCGCTAGTTATTCAGCAGTAATGCAAGGAACCTACAGGCCTGTATCCTGTAGACATTAGCTTAAGCAAGTTAGCATAAGTATAGCCAAGCCTAGTAGGCCTGTGACCTTTGCCATAATGAATGACCTGACGGTTACCCTTGGATTTGGGGGAACTAGGAATAGCTTGCTCAATAGCAAGAGTTGGAACCTAACGGCACCCGGCAACTGGGATGATTTCGTTGGGGATTGGTCCTGCTTTGAGCAGGGGGTTGGACTAGATACCTCCTGAGGTCCCTTCCAACCCTGATATTCTATGATTCTAACTGCAGGAACACTGAAGTGATCCTGGGTGTGGGTATTTTAGGACAATCGTTGGCAGATAGCTAACCATCAACTTGTTTGAGCAATAGGTGATGTCGATGATAATGAGTTAAATGGCATTAATATGTTAACCTATACAATAAGTGCACCCAGTATTATGAGGATGAGGAAGTTAGAGTTGGACATGGAAGGCTGGGCATTAGAATGAATATTCATGGTCACGCTCAGGCCCTATAATAGGTCTAACCACCACATGGAGGGGGTTAGCTTCCCATCATTTGACCCTTCAGCTTTATTGTTAACTACCACCAGTCCTGGGCACTGGGGAGCCTGGACCATCAGACTCATTTGGCATGCAGAGGCAGGGCTGGCCCTTTGTCTCTCACCACCAGGTCCTCAAGGAAGGGTGTAAGTTTACAAGTCTAAGAACATATGCAAGGAATGATACCACAGATACCCCCCATAGTCTATTATTCCTATCCGTTTATGTGGGTTGAAGCTTTCCTGTCTCTATTATCGGGTTGAATGAAAACCACCAAGACTTTGCTTTGCCTTCAGTGCGAGGCTCCTTGCTGTACACCCTGAGGGTCCCTACACGATATTGAACTCGTTGGTTTTAGTTCCGTGTAGCCTGGTTCTAGGACAAGAACCCCGTTATCCCCAGCTCATTAATCAGGATCAACCCGCAATCAGTACAATTATGATTAACCATTAAAGAAAGTCAGGCAACAGTGCCCAAGTTGAGAGACCGTAAAAGGTCCTGAGGCAGGGATTTGGAGCAATCAAATTTTTGAATTGCTCTGCTCCGGCTCCGGGCAAAAACCTACTGGTCTGCGCTCCGGGCTCCGCTCCAAAGCCCTGTCCCGAGGTTCAGAAAGCGCTGAGCACCCGTCCTCTGAAAATCAGGCCCTTTAAGAGTGTCTTAAATTGGGCATGCAAAACAACTAGTCAGATCTGTAAACCTTGACCTGGGTCTCTTATCCTGCCTGTCAAGGCCCCATTGTCTATCCTGCCCTGTCCTTCCTGCACACACTCTGTGCGGGGCTGGTTGTAGAATCAGAGATCAGATCCTCAGGCAGGAGAAATTCACCACAAGAGACGAGCAAAAACAATCTGACTTTAACATCATTATCATTCATCCATGCTTTGGCAACTACTTCACTGTACTTTCTGGTTTACAGCTGCTGCTTGTAAGTGGGAACTGCTGTTACCCCGTCTCACAACAGGCTGCGGCTTGCAGGCGTTTCGGTGCTTACGGAAAAACTGGCTCAAGATGATGAGATATTTCACATACCAGTAATTTACTGTTTACAGAAACGGCTTTCTGAGCATGTTTTTCTTTTGCAGGCATTGCCCGAATACGGACAGGTTCATGCAAGTTGGAAATAGAAGGGGAGCTCCACAGAACAACAAATAAATCAGTTTGTCTTAATTTCCCAGCATAAAGGCAAACTTCAAACTGCTCTGAGGTAAGAGCAGGTAACAGCCAGGCAGAGAGATTCAGTGCTCGGCAAAGGGCAGAGTTTGCTCAGTTAGAATTAGATTCAGTCAAAATTTTCCAAACACTAAATTTTTTAATTAAAAGCCCTTTGAAAAAATTTCACAAAACACAGCTGCCTTTTTAGACATTTTTCACCTTTTAAATTGAAACTATTAGTGATATTTTGCTCTTACCGAAAACCTGATATGGCAGTAAATAAAGAATTTCAAGAATCATTTTGACAGTGTTGTCAATAACACTGGAGGTGAAAAAAATCCATGCAGATTTAAAAAAACCAACAACTCCCAACAAACCAAACGGTCCGTTTCAAACCCTGTGAAATGGAAACGTCAAAATATCTCATGATTTAAACCAAACACAACAACCCTCCCCCCCTCAACCTCCTAAAGTTACAGTCAAGCTGATTTAGGGAGTGACTTATGTCAGCTGATATTTAAAGGAGTTGCCTTTAAGGAGATCACATTTCCAGGTGATGCTCCGCTGGGCTGTATATACTGAGCATCTCTTAGACATGGGCTAGCACATTAGCCATGTTTCCATGATATTAGCTTGAATAAGAATACTCAGACTGAGATTTTCAAAGCTGCCTAAGGGATTTGGAGACCCAGTTTCCATTAGAGGAAGGATGATCCAATGGCAAGGGAAGTAGCCTAGAACCTGGCAAACCAGGATTCAAGTCTCTGCTCTGCTACAGCTTTCGCTGTGGGACCTTGGGCGAGTCTCTTAGGGCCAGATCCTCAAAGGGCCTTAGTCTCTCTGGGCCTCAGTTGCCCATCTGTACAATGGGGATAACAGAACTGCCCTGCCTCCCAGGAGTATTGTGAGGATAAATACACTAAAAAGATTGTGAGAGGCTGAGATGCTAAGGGCTGGAAAAGAACCTAAGGTAGCAAATCCAACTCTGCCGATTCCCCTTCCATGACTGTTCTAGCAAACGAGCTGTACTAGCAGGAACGCCCATGGAAAGACTGTATTCGCGCTTATGGGCCAGATCCTCAACTGGTTTCAATTGTCCCTTGAAGCCAATGGAGCTACGCTGATTATCACCAGCTGAGGATTTGGCTACTTGGAGAAAGCAAATTTCAGACTCAGAAACGTGACTATGGCTTCCTGGAAAACTGATCACACCCTCCACCCAGGGGACAAGCTGAGCAATGTGACGTGACCTTGCCATCCAATCACCTTCACGCTGTGTTGCTAGGGTGTCAGTCTCATGCTCTTCATGCAATTAACATCCTACCTTTGTCCCACTGGGTCCCATCTCCACCTACCAGCTCTCCCTGTCCCCGTCTCTCTCCATATCTTTGCACCATCATCAGTGCATGAAGTAACTTCCAATCCCATGGCTAGGCCAAGGCATACAGAGACTCTCACACAACCTATGAGAGGCAGCAACCATCTGGCAGGTGCTGTGTTGAAAGTTGCATAAAACAGATTAGGTCTCTGGGCCCAACCCCGTGCCCCATTGAAGACAGTGGAAGGTGTCACAGATCTGGTTGACCCCCCGCCCCGGACACTTTCCAGACTGCTGTGAAGGGGATTCAAATGCTGAATCTCATATGCCCTTAGCTTGCTGGGGATGGCAGAGGTTATACACTGTTCCTGGCTTTGGATCTCATGCCTGACACCTCTTTGAGCACTGAGCCCCTGCAGTCCAATTGCCTAGGCCCTGAGACTAATGCCATCTACACCACGCCTCCCCAGCGGCTCTTGCCTGTCCCCAGAACGCCCCGCAGGGTTACAGGGACGCATGACAGCAGAAGCAAATGGACACAGGTGTAGCAAAAGGTTTGTAACTCAGTACCTCTTAAGTAAAGAGCAAAAGCACAAGAGAGCACATATCCTTTAGAAAACAACCCCTCTCCTGAATGCAATGCTCCTCACTCCGGCTCACCCTTCCCTTGGGAGTCCTTGGGGGGCCATCTGTGTTCAGGTGGGCAGGGCTCTCCACTGCTTCATCAAGTTCTGGCAGCCGCTCCCCTCCTCTTCAGCTGTTGGAAATGGCTGAAGAGCCAGACTAGAGCAGCTCCTGCCCTTTTATAACCTCTGTCAGGTGACCTCCTGATCAGCCTCAACAGGTGAGCACAGATCCCTACCAGGTGACTTTGTAACCAGGTGACCTCTCCCTGGATAGCCCAATTCTCCTGGGTAGGAGCCAGCCTTTTGTTTAGGGTGCTTCTATGTGAATATAGGATCATGAAGGTTTAACAACCCTCTATTGTTAGCTTTGTGCCGCTACTCCGTGGAATCCCAGTCCATCTTGGAGGTAAAAGGACAACAGAGAAGGCAACCAAACCCCACATTCAAAATAGAGTTTGCAGTCCAAAGAATGTTCATGATTTCAACAGAGTTCATAAGCTGTACATAGAAAGAGCTCCCAAATCGTCACAGAAGGACTTTATATTCCAGGTCTATTTATAAATCATTTATGACACTCGAGGAACCATTTATTAAAATGTCTACGGACCTTTATTGAGTCCAACAGCTGCTTATAGACATGGCTTCAAACCACCCACGACACTTTCCACTAGTGTGTTTACGTCCATTTAAAAAACACATGACTCCGTCTAGAACATGCCTAGAATATCTACAAAGCATTTATCAACCCCTTGCAAAGTATTTATTGAAGATGATCAAGAAACAGGCACACTTTCTCACAAATTTCATCCCTTTTAAATTTTGTTGTTGTTGAAAAAAAAAATTGAAATTTGGAAAGTGCTGACTGGCTCTGCTATTTGTCAACGTACTTTTCATACACAGCGTGACCCTGCCTTCAATGGGCACTGGACTGAAAACCCTTAGAGAAATGTTTCTAATAAGCCTTTGATTGCTTTGTTGATCAGTCTGCAGGGAATGAAGCTGGTGAGAAGTTTGCACTGGTGGATGGAGTCTGTGCGAGAGATAGTGAATGCACGGAGATGAGGTAGGAGCCTCTTCTCCCTTCACTAGCAGCACCCTCCCCGCGGTATAAAGGGACAGACCGGAATGGAGCCTGCCCTGAGGAGGATGTACTAAGACCCTGGTTCTTCTGCTGTGCACAGTGATGGCAGCCTGTGGGTTTGCTCAGCTGCTCCCTGCCCTGGCGCCGGGCGGCGAGTTCCCAGCACCGCTTGGCGACCAGGTAGGTCATCTCGCAGAGATTGAGAAGGATGCACAGGGTGGCGGTGGCCACCATGAAGTAGGTGAAGAGTTTCTTCTCGGTGGGCCTGGCGATGAAGCAGTCGACCGTGTTGGGGCAGGGGGCCTCGGTGCACCGCACCACGCGGGGCAGGTTGAAATTGGGGTAGAGCCGGTGGAAGATGTAGAGGAAAGTCACGTCCACAGCAACTTTGAAGACAAGGCTGAGCAGGTAGGTCCACCACAGCCCTCCCCGCTTCTTGCCGGGGTCGGGGTAGAGCCGGCGGCAGTTCTCTCCCTCCGCCTCCCGGCACTTCCTCTGCTTGGCCTCCCGGTAGGCCACATGCATGACCACCAGCAGGGAGGGGCAGGTGACCAGGATGAGCTGCAGGGCCCAGAGGCGGATGTGGGAGACGGGGAAGAAGTGGTCATAACAGACGTTGGAGCAGCCGGGCTGGCGCGTGTTGCACTCAAAGTCCCTCTGGTCGTCGCTCCACACCCGCTCAGCCGCCACTACGTAGACCAGGAAGCGGAAGACGATGACCACGGAGAGCCAGATGCGCCCGAAGGCCGTGGAGTACTTGTTCACCCCGCTTAGGAGCTCCTGGAGCCAGGACCAATTCATCCTCTCGTTTGGGGTTAGCAGAGCAGGAGCTGGAGCGGAGACAACCAAGCTGCAGTGAGTGGAATGGGCTACACGAGGGCTAGACTGCAGCAAGCACTGTGTGCCCGCACACGGGAGTAAGAACCCACCTGTGGGGGGTACACATCCCTGGGGTCTCCTGGGGCCTTGGCGCCAGCCCCTACTCCCTTGGCCAGCAGTGGAGACAGTCCAGGGGTGGAGACCAAGAGTAAATTCCTGCCCCTCACCCTGAGCAAGGGAGAGGCAGGGGTGAACTGTGCCTCACAGGTGGGTCTCTGAGTTAGGATTCCCTCCCCGGCTCTTCTTGGGATGGTGCCGTCAATACACATGCCTTGCTCAGGGCTGCGTCTGAAGGAACAATGTACCCCTGGATTTGCCATAAGCCCCGTTACCACTGCTCTCGCCTCCCCGCCAGTGCAGAGTAACGCCAGCGTTCTCATATGGCCTGCACTGATTGGAGCCACCACGTTGCTGGAGATCAAGCCCATGGCCTCAGGAAAGCAAGTCACGGTCTGTAATGGGACCAGCATGCAGACCACAGCCCTCCTGTACTCTAGGATGAAATTCAGTCCCATGCAGCACCAAGCTCAGGCCCCATTTAAATCCCACGTAAGCCCTCATGTGCGCTGACCTCTGCCTATAACCTCTGCTTAAGACAACAGAGCATGGGACTTGAGTGGTGGCTAGTCCTTTTGCTGGCTCGTTGTACTGGGCTGGATTTCACCCTTAGCCCACATGCCTGTGCTTGTTTTCCCCAGCATTTCACACGGTCTGCTATTATCAGTTGTCCCCTCCCAACCCACACTGTCTTCCACAAGGCCATGCTGAGCAAAATGGGTGCAGTTGTCTGAAGAAAAGAACATAAACCACCAGGAGCATTGCCTCTGGGAGTGACAGCAGCTGCATACCAGGGATTTAATCGGAGTTGAGTTTCACACCAGGAGGCCACAGGGATGAAATTCCCTCCCCTCCAAATTCTCTTAAAAGAGACGCAAAGTTTTCAGAAAGTACCTTTCCTCTCCGTGTGTGTTTCAAAGGCCCAGAGTTTCCAAAGGGATTAGTGAGTTCAGGTGATCCAACTTCAGACACCTTAAAGAGACTCGCCTTTCAGAAATAAAAGTGAAAATCTGGCCTTTTAAAGGCACCTAAAGTCAGAACCCCTCCACCCTCCCCAAAATGGATGTTCCTTAAATGACTAGTGGTTTAGGAAAATCTTGGCCCAAGATAACAATGAAAACCCAATAATAAACTGAACGTCACGTTCAACGTTAATGTTACTGATGAGTGCGCTTACCGTGGAATTATTGTTGGTTATTCATTCCAGAAAACGTTCAGGTACGGACTGAGATCCTCAGGAATTACAGTGCAGCCTGAGTCGCTGCAGAACACAACATACTACTGCAGTAAACCAGATCAGGGTTTCCCATTTAGTGCTGTTGTTTTATCAATTTTTGTTTATTAACGAGATGGGGATGTAGTGTTAATGTGCTTCCATGGGGCTCTGTTCATAGATTCTTCAGTCCACTGGGTCACTTACTTCTCCAGTTGTTGGCCTGACCCTGTCAACCTTTACTCACCTGAGCAGGCCTTGCTCAGATGGGTAGTGCCACTGATTAGTCAAGAGACTCCACAGGGGAGGAAGAGTTTGCTGGAAGAGTCTTAAAGTGTACACTATTGCGTAGTGCCTTACTCTGAGCAGGCCATTGAAGTCAAGGTGCTGTTCCAGCTAAGGGGGGCGGAATCTGGCCCTCTGTGTATTCAGTGTGTGAAAAAAAAAAAGGGAAAATTATGAGATAACAATCGGGGGGAGGGGCAGCATGATGTAGGGGCCAGGGCACAGGGCTAGGAGACATGCATTCCATTCTCCCCTCTGCCACTGACTGTCTGTGTGACCTCTGGCAAGTCACTTGACGTCACTGTACTTGTTTCCCCTGCCGGCCTTAGGCTGTCTTGTCTTTGCAGACTATAAGCTCTTTGGAGCATGTATTATGCTTAGCACAACAGGGACCAGATTTTGGTTGGGGCTCCTACACGCTCTGGTAATGCAATAAGATTATTTGGCAAGGGATTTCCCTTGAGTTTGGGTCCGTGCTTTGCATTGGACGTACCCTTCCATCCAATTCCAAACATTGGCAGTGTTAGTGAAAAAGCAGGTGCTGCTACTGGCGGAGACTGGCAGTTTGCTCTGAAAATGTGAAAATAGCCCCTTAGTGATAATGTCTAGCATTCTTAGCTTCTGAGCTCTTCAGGGCAGGGACTGTATCTTCATGAGTGTTGGTGCAGCCTCTAGCACATGGGGCCCTGATCCCAATTGGGGCTGGGGACCCTTCTACAATATCAATATTAAATACTACCAGTAATTTGATTATAACTTTCCATAGTAAATAAACAACAAAGCTCACCTCCATGAAATCACTGGAATATACAGTGTATCCTCTAGCAAGTCGACAATACTATCTATCATAGTCACAATATCTGGAGTTACCGATCTATCCACATAGGTTCTTATGCCATGCACTTCGCTTTGATACCTGAATGTCTAGTGCATGTGTAACACATTAATAAATTCCCGAATCGATCAGAACCTCAGTCACAAATTACCACTGGAATGTAACTTAGCACTGTCAACGTGCTTTAGCAACAGGAAACGTTGTAAGCAGTAATACCGTGTCTCTCATTGCATGACTGTCTCTGTTACACATTCACACCCCATGCACAGCACTTGCCTCCTGAGAGTAGACGCTATGCCAGCTTGCAGAACAGTGAAGTTTATCATCCTGCATGTAGGCTCCATTAAATCATACTGCTCCCGCCCACCCAGGGTATTTCCTCTAGCCCAAGCGAGCTCTCTCCATGCCTCTTACCTGACGGTAGAGAAGCCCATAAACTCTCTCTAGCTATTCCATTGCAGCACAGTCTGAAAGCTCTCGCTGCCTTTGCTGATGCACCGGGGATGCGTACACCTGCTGGGCGTGCCTCCCTTTCACCAATAAGCTCAGCAGACCTTCTTCAGAGAGGTTTAAAAAAAAAAGCCTAGAGTCACAGAAAAATAAAATGGACTTGACATGTTAGCTCAGAATTATAGCCAGCGCCCATTGAGCTCCATGGGAGTTTTGCCATGGACTTCATAGAGACAAGGGCTTGGCCTTATCTGGGCTTTGACCCATTGTGCAATGTGTGAGAGCAGAAGGATAATGCTTTGCCTTTCTTAGCAAAATTGCTTTGGAAGCAGGAATCCCCTAAGGCGCCAACCCCACTCGTGCGATTCCCACTTTGCAGACAACAAGACCACGGCTTTGAGAGGTGAAATGACTCACCCAAGGTCCTGTAGCAGAGTCAGGGCCGGGCACGTCACCAGCACCCGGCAAGTAATAATCAATTACGAGTGAAGCTGGAGACAGAACCAAAAGAGATTCCTGGTCCCCTGTCCTCTGCTCCAACCACTCTCAGCTCCCACCCTGCTAATCAAAAATGATTAGCTATGAGGATGCTGGCTTCCAGAGGCTGTTCTTTTTCTGATTCAGTGGCTGTTTGCAGGTGAATCCTGGCTCTTTATAAAAGTAAAGGCCTGTTTTTAATAGTGTTTAGAAAATTGCTTTCCGTGCATTATATTACAAGAAGCCTTCTCCCAAGCCACACACATGAACAGAGGCACTGCCAGACCACAGGTTGTCCAGGTTCCAATACCCAACAGTGGTCAGTTGCAGCTGCTTCAAAGGAAGATGAAAGAGGGCCATATTTCCAAGGGTGATAAGCTCTTTTGAAGAACTAGGGAGTTTATTCCACCCGTCTCCGCAAGCAACTCTTCAACGCTGTAAAAATGGTTTATTTGGGGCGCACCTTTTGAAAAATCCCATTCACAAACATTTATGCCGCAGCGTTGTATTGGTTTTAAGCTAAAACAAAGGACGAGAAACAGAAATAAAGCCCATTTCTTATAAAGAGACATTTTTATTAGTTGCAAGGGTACACAAGGCGAGAAATACATACAGGGGTCAGATCTGCAGTGGGTGTAAAAGGGCACAACTTCACTCTCTACAGCGCAGCTGAGCGGCTTCATAGCAGCTGAGGAGCCGGCCTACGGATAGTGCAGTGCAGTGGCTAAATGAATTGTTCGCGTTGGGCTTTTAAAATATATGTATCATGTCCACACCGCATGGTTTTGCGGACGGTCATCAGTGCTACAGATGCTGCCTTAGCTCCGTGAACATGGAATGAGTATAGAATTCCACCCTCTGGGGGTGGATCACCCCTGAAATGCCGCCATCTCTGGGGTGGAACACAGCAGCCATCCAGTGCCAAATAAATCATCATGTTCTTTTTAAGAGGGGGAGTGAGGTATCTGAGAATTTAGGGCAGCAGGATGCAGTTTCCTGCTTTGGCTCTATCATCACTAGCTACTCCCTGAAGGATGCTATGGGATGTTAGATGACAAATCACTCCACAGGAAGAGGGTCACCCACACAGCTGCCCTTGCTCCGTCAACGAAAGGAGATGTTTGAACCTTACCCAATGGAACAACTTCCTACCAAGGGATGTGGTGGATGCTCCGCCCCGTGGAGTCTTTAAATCAAGACTGGATGCCTTTCTAGAAGATGGGCTCTAGCTCAACTGGAAGTGAAGGGCTTGATGCTGGAATGGCTGGGTGGAATTCTCTGACCTGTGTTGTGCAGGCGGTCAGACAGGATGATCATAACGGCCTTGAAAACCAGTGAATCTAGGAGATTTTTTTCTTTCCCCTTGGCCGCCGCCTTACCCTCCTCCCCCGTCAGCAAAACTCTTTAATTCCCTAAGGGTGAACGGATTCCCCATCACTGACGTTAGCAAGTGTTTAGTTTCCATGACTTGAATCTCTGGCAGGATGGATTATTGGTCATTTCCCGCAGATGGGAAAACGCTGCATTCTTTTCATTGGGAAGCCTCCTGTTCTTTCTAGTGTCTTCTGCTACCCCCCAGGTTGGTCCTGATGGGTTAAGCAAAGCTGA